CAGGAATGCAGAATGTCATCTCTTAGCATTGGTTGGCTGACAGGGCCGTAAATTCCTGAATTGGATACTTGAACCTGGTTGGAATGTGACATGGAATTGAAAATATTTTCTCTGTTTTCTTCCAGCTTCAGATCGAGCAGCTCTCCTCCAGAAAGCCAGGGGCTAAGTATCATGGCATCCTGCAAGCTGTACAGCGCATCTTCCAGGAAGAGGGATTGGTAGCCTTCTGGAAGGGCCATGTTCCTGCTCAGTTCCTTTCAGTTGGCTACGGAGCTGTTCAGGTAAGGTGACCGGACATCAGTCGGGCCCAGCGTACAAACACAGGACTCTGCTTTGCTTCTCTTCAAGCCAGCTGTGTGGACAGACGCAGGAAGGTTCAGGTTTAAACTGTACTAATGCAAGCCAGCTTCAGTCTCAAAGATGTGTGGTTGTATAATGCTGATGTGGAATTCCTAAGTTGATGTTCCTGAGCTTGCTGAACGGCCTGCCTGGCCAGCCTGGAGAGCAGCTAGAGCAGAGTTCTGTCTGCATCTGGTGTCATAGACAAGCGCTGTTTTTTTTCCTGACACTCAGCTGTTCATGTTCCAAGCCTGTGTAGTTTTTTGCTTTGGTTCACGCTGTCACCCTAACAGCTTATTAGTTAAAAACTCAGTGAAGCTGATGACGGTGTTTTATGCAGCATTGTTATGCTTGATTTGTAGGTGTTAACAACATGTTTTATGAGCAGTGGTTGAAAGAGTAATGGACAGTGTATCTGTAATATAGCAAATGTTCTTCAGGATACTTAGAACGTTAAAATAAGTTTTTCACAATTTTAAATGCAAGATTTAGCAGAAGTGTCAGAGGTGAGAACATTCCAAGCATTCCCTGGGCTGCTCAGTGTTTTTTACAAGGTATTCTTTGAGCACGTGCTCCCACAGGTTGCAAGTTGGGGAGGACTTTTGAAGGACAGAGAGAGAAGGTGGTTACAAGCGGTGGGTGGAGCTCTTGGTGAAACAAGAGAGGAGTGGGAGGTCTGTGTCAGTGATAAGGGTTGACTCCTTGGCCTCTGTATGTTTATTTCTGCAAGTTTATGGCGTTTGAAAGCTTGACAAAACTGGTGCACAACGTCACCTCATACAACGCCCGCGATTCCTTTGTGCACTTCGTCTGCGCGTCCCCCCCCAGCCACTGTTGCAGTTCAGCCTGTTGACACACTACGTACCCGCTTTGCTGCTCAGGGTGAGCCTAAGGTATGGTTGAGGATTAATGCTTGGAATTATTATCCCTAGCAGTAGCAATATTTCACGCGTGTGAATGCAAGAGGTTTGAAATGTGTGACTGTGGGTTAGCTAAAGGAGCAGGTGCTGTTATTGGGCGATGTTTGTGCTGTTGCCAAGTTACCCTCTGTGCTGTTGACACAGCTTTCTTAATTATGTTTTGCTGCTCCTGATTGTGTTTGACTCCTGACAGGTGATGCAGAAAGGAGAAACTGTCCTTAACAGGATAAATCAATTTAATTCTGGGTGTTGGCCATTTACAGAATAGGCTCCCCAGTCTGTCCAACATGGTGTGTTTGAAACTTCCCGCTTCTGCAGAGTCATGTTTAGATAACGACAGGGATGATACTTGAAACCAGTCACCTTTCACCTGTGTTTCATGTTCTTACTTATGCAAGAAATGGTCTCCATGGTAATTAAGTCTGTAACACCCAGACTCATGTGGATTTGTATCAGAGCCATTTCTGGTTTTTGACCTAGCCTGCAGCAGAATCACAATATATAGTATATGAATTCTGTTGCAGGAGCAAGCAGAGCTGTTAAGAGCAAAATAATCATGTCTGTGATGCAAGTGGTCTCAGGCCACAGGTCTTGGCTCTGTTTCTTCCCCTCAGAAGCACAGCTTGGGTGTGGGATACAATGTCAGCCCAGGCCTTTCGGTGCAGAGCTGACGATCGTTTGTGCAGTTAGTCTCTCGTGGCCCGGAGGCAGATTTAGGTTGTCAGGTTACTTAGGAGAGTCACAAGGGCTGTGTGAGAATATGCTGTGAAGATGTGCAAAATCACTTTGTTCATCGCTATGCGCTGAATATCGGTCAGTTGTATTTTGGGCAGCTGGAAATACCTGTCCTCATTCCTGGGAAATAACCTGACCTTTGGTTTGCTGCTTTTTAGCCTGTTTCGCTAGAGAGTCAGCCTCTTCTTTCTTGTCTAGGTCTATCACAACCTTCGCCATGCGGTGGTGACGATGTACCAGACAGAAGGGCCTTGGACTTTCTACAGAGGCTTGACCCCCACAATCATTGCTGTCTTTCCATACGCTGGTCTCCAGTTCTCCTTCTACAACATCCTGCAACAGTTTTCTGAATGGGTGATTCCAGCCGAAGGAAAGAAAGGAGGTGGGCACTTGAGAGAGGGATGTCTGCAATCTGGAGAGAAAGAGAGGATGAATGCTAGTTTGGAAAACGGGCATAAGCTCAGTTTTCTATCCTATCACCCTTTTTGATGCAACATCTGAAAAGTATCTCAGTTTCCTATCTCTCATTCTTACCCCTGCACCGATACTGTGAAAGTAACTACAGTCAAGCTTACAAACAGCTCGTGTTATGTTCTGACCGTGGTGGAAATGTGAGTGGATGGGCAAGTGAAGTGTCACAGGCCAGGGTGCCCTTTCCTGAGCTGTGTCACGTTGCTGATACTGGAGGAACGCACTGCTGACGCAATCTTTCTCTGTTTCGTTAGTGCTGTGGGGACAGGACCCTTGGATTTCCTCAGGAAATCTGCCTGCAGATTCCAGCATAGCTGTTACAGAAGAGGATTCATTTAGCCTAATTTTAAACTGTCAAGCTTTTAGTTTGATATTTTTAGGTTGATTTCTAACTCCATTATAAGAGAACCTCATCCTGATGCGACCTGTTACCTGGGCAGTTTGAGGCACTAGTGCCTCCCTGAGAGAGAGCGTTTGCAGCATCAGCGTGGTTTTGGATTTGAATTCCTCAGTGGAATTACCTCAAGTAGAGGAACTAGACTTTTCAATATCATGTCTGCATATTTATTTGTAGATGGCAGAGGCTGATGGTGGTTTTGTGCTGGGAACTCATGTTTGTCAGGAAGAAGTCCAGTATCACAAAACTCATTTCGCACAAGCCTCTGAAATCACCAGGCAGGGTCAGCTTGTGACTGATTCCAGTCCTGAGTAAGTCACTTTGAGCAATCAGGAGCGCAAGATTTCCAGTGACTAGGCTTTTACTGGGGGGCATTAAAACCTTTCCATCCATTCGTGGCAGGTTCTCTGGTGGCTGGGGGTTTTTGTGCGATGCCACTTGGCAGAGCAAAAGCATAAATCAGCATAACGAACCAAGGTGAGCTGTTAACGCTCTGGCTCCAATGGACATTGCAGGCCTGACATAGAAAATACGGATTGAGGTTCTGTGGCCTAAACTATGCAGAAGTAGTGATGTGGCTTGCTTATGAAAAGTAATTTTTTTACTTATGTCTCATGGTCTTTGATCAGAACTTACTGCTAATCCCCTTTTTTCCGTCCCCGCTATCCTCTCTCCTTTCTGTTTCTCAGGGAATGTTAAAAACCTTGTTTGTGGCAGCTGCGCTGGAATCATCAGCAAAACCCTCACTTACCCTTTTGACCTGTTCAAAAAACGACTGCAAGTGGGTGGCTTTGAGCATGCCCGGGCAGCCTTTGGGCAGGTGAGAAATGTTGGAATTGACTGATTTTTGTGAATATGGGTTTGCCTCAAGACAACCCAGAGCCAGTCCGCTGCACCAGAATGCAGTGATGATTCACGGGTTGGGAGCTCCCGGGGAACTTCTGGGAGCTGAACGTTGGTCTCACTTAATAATGGGAATAGCTGCATGAATAAAAGGGGTTCATTTTATGACATTGTCCAGCATACCTGTGCTCTGCCTGCTCGTCCGTCTCCATCAGGTTGGCTGTCTCAGAGCTGGGGATGAGTTAGGCAGGAAAAGAGGTTTCAATTTACTTTACTTTTCTAGTTGCAGCTTGGTATTTGTGATTCAGGACCAAGTTACTAGCAGAGGATGACTCCAGCTTTATGCTGGGATCGCCTGGCTGTCAGGATCCTTTTCTGCGATTAATATTTTGATACAAGGAATGGGCACCAAGTGTTCAGCATGTGTCTTATGTACAGAACATCCTGAAATTCAAAGCAAATTAAATACTTCTGGTGTTCTTTAGCACCATCCTTACCATCTCGAAGTACGCTGTAAGACAAATACAGATCTTTCAAGGAACTATCTCTTGTTTTCCGTGGAATCCAGAAATTTTCCTTTTTCCTTCAAATTCCTTGGATCTGAGAAGTAAATCAGTCTGTACCTCAAGAGACTCTGGGATAGGAATTTGAAGTCTTAGCCTATTGCATTGAATGCTTTTCCTCTTCCAGCGAGGTACAGAATTTGTTTTTAATATTGATGTGTCACAAGTTGTTAAACCTTCGCAGCGTGACGCAATGACATGCAGGTCGCTAATTTAGGGATTCTTAAGTGCTGTAGCTTTGATTCCTTTCTGTCAGAAAAATGGAAAGTTGTCCCCCCTTAGAGAGTGAAGAGGAGGGAAAACTGTAGCAGCACAATCTGAAATAATTACTTCACAAACTTGTACCATAAATAATACATGCTGTTGTAGCATAAAGATTTTACGGGCGTTCAATTAAAATGATTTGCATAAGCCATTGCTGGTGGCTTTTCCTCTATCCTACTCTCTACGAACTGACTCTCTGAAACTTTCAGTTGTATCAATAGCCAGAAAGGCATCTCCAGGCTGCACATCTACATCATGTTTCATGGTATAGCTTGGGGCTCTCTGTTCTTTTCCAGATAAGTTGTCCTGGATTTCTCCTGTTTAACCTCTTTGCCATTTCTCTCCCAGGTACGGATGTATCGGGGTCTCCTGGACTGCATAAGGCAGATCGCACGAGAGGAGGGCCCAGGTGGATTCTTCAAGGGCCTTTCACCCAGCTTGCTGAAGGCTGCTGTCTCTACCGGCCTCATCTTCTTTTGGTACGAGTTGTTCTGCAGCCTGCTGTGTGCCCTGAGGAACACCGACAGCATCACCAGGAAGGAAGGCTGAAAGGGCCACAAAGTATGTGGCTGCCTGATGTTCTCCTGGAGGAGGGGAAGCTGATGGCTTTGCTCTGTCATGAGCATCTGGGAAATGTCAGAGCTCCCAGAGCTCCACCAGCCTGTAGGACGTCACCTCCTAGGACCGAGCAGAAGGAGAAGGCGACTGCAGTTCTGCTGGAGACCCTGAACTGCCTTGCTGGAAGCTGTTCAACTGAGCACTTTTTTTCTCTGTCTCCTCTAACATCAGCATGCATTTAGTGGGGGCAGTGAGGAACCAAGCAGACAACTACCTAGCAGAGACTGTGCTCTGGAAAGGCACCCGGTAAAGTGGGTGAATTCCTGCGCTTGCTTGGGATCAGAGAGAGGGATCCTGGCCTAGCTAATGCTGCGTAACCGCTCTGCGTCACTGCCTGTCACTGCATCTGCACAGCTCCATTTCCTTGCTCTATGGCCTGCTCTTTGCACCATGTTCTTTTCTCCATGTTGCACAGGTAGCTCCATCCTGCTGTTGTGAAATCAGTTAAAAACCTCTTTAGTATGCACAGAACCTTGGTTTTCCTTTTCTTTGCTGCCAGCTGCTGCTTCTTGATTGCCCCTTGCTGGCTGTGCATTCTCAGCCACCTTAAACACTGAATCTTCTAGTGGATTGTGCTGCCCCAAACTTTCTTCTAACTCTGGTGAGCTTGATTGTATCCGAAGTGCTCCTTTCTCTTCCTGCATGTCTTGCCGTGCATCTCTTAGGGTGTTGCATTGCCTCAGTCACGCTCTTTACAAGTAGACCGGCAGATTAAGACCCCTGCTCTGAGGGGATTCAACGCACAAGCCCAGTTCTCACTTCAGGGTTCTTTGCTTCAGTGCAGTGAGTAAACAAATGCTGTGTAGAGTTTTAGAAATATTTAGTCTAAGACGAAAGAATGAAGGAAAAGTCCTGTGGAAACTAGTAAATGTCCTTTTTTTTTTTTTAATACCACTTTTGAATGTTTGTAGCAAGTATTTCTGTAGTGGCCTCAAAACATTTCTGAACCTCAGCCCTACAGTGGTGCTAACAGATTAAAACGTTTTGACAAGATTAGCTGAAGTGGGAGGACTGAACATCAGATCGGAATTGGTTGGCTTAGCATGGTGTTTGGCAAGAAAAGGGGGATTGAATTAGAGCTGGAGAAGTGGTTTTTTTCAGAGTTTCAAAGGTTTTGTGAGTAGTTAAAAAAAAAACAACTGGTTTATGTAACAGGGAAAAAGAGGAAAATTGCTTTCTTCCTCCTCTTTTATTCTCTGTTTTTTCAAGCTGAGCAGGGTGTGGCTGCCCCAGCCTGTGGAAGGCAGACTTCTGAGGAAGAGCCTCTGTGATACAAAAGCATTTATGTCATCTGGCGAGTAGCAGAAGGGGCAGAGCGTGGCAGTGATTTAGAGGATGGTTTGTCGGTTCTTCCCTCATGGCAGTACTGTTTGTGGCTGTTTTGCAGTATTCACGGTGTTAATCCCAAATGGCCTGGCCAGATTCCAGCGTGACCAATTCCATTCTGTTGACACAACTTCTCCTGGCGATTTTGAGCATATCAGCGTTGCTCACTTATCCTGAACTATTGGGAGAGGCTGTTTTTAAAGAGCAGCTGTTTCACTGGTGGCCGAGATATGGAGAGAGATGCCTGACAAGCCCAGGCCAAATAACTTTGCTGTGGTTTGAGGTCTTGGGAGTGCAAAGTGGCTGTTTCACCGCAGGTGACTTTGAGAGCTTGAAATTGAATTCACTGAGCAGTGTCAGTGTCAGGCAGGAGGCCAATATCTGAGCCTCGAAGAGGGAGTGTTAGCTGCACGTACTCTAAAAATAGGCATTTTCTTAGAGGAGAATATGCAAAGAATGAGGAGTAAAGTTTCTCAAAGTGCCTCAATCCTGCTGGCGTTTTCCTGCGTTATTCAGGCTCTTCTAAGATTTCCCCAAAATCTTCTTAACAATATTTTGCCTTTATTTATTGTTCTTCTGCTGTTCTTGGAAAGACATCATAACCAGTAACGAACTTAACCTCATGGCATCCTTCTGAGAGAGAGAAATACCTCTTTTTGAAACAGACACAAGCCGGTTGGGATGGTTCCTGTCTTTTGGCTGCCGGTAGAGAGGAATGCTGTCATGGTCAGCAGGGACCAGACTGGCCACAGCAGAAAACGTTCTGTGCTGACCTAGGCATGCAGAGGAAGTCGGGACTCATCCATCCTGTCTAAACGGTACAAGACTCTTGTTTTCCATTTTATGTTGAACTGCACAAAATGGGGGGAAGCCGGTTAGGAACTCAGCGGCAGGAAATGGAGCCTCTGGAACAGGGGGTGAGTTGCTTTGGTTGTCACAGGGATGAAGAATAAAGAGCAGAAAACTGTGCTCTGCTAAGATGACGTTCAGGTGTGCTGTGGAGCTTGAGGTGGTGCAGGTAACTTGGCTGCTCCGCAGAGAGGGCAGCAGTGGAGAGTGCAGAGGAGCTTTTCCTCTCTGGGATACTCTTTTCCTCCACTCTGCGTTCAGGGAGCTTGCCTGCATCCAACAGACAGCAAAGTCGGAGTTTAGGTGGTTGTGCCAGTCTGGCCCAGGCTGTGGAAGAGACACTCCCTGGGCAGAGGGCTTTGGCACGCAGCCTGGTTTGTAGATCCCTTTGGGGCGTCCGTCGTAAACGTTACAGGCCCATAAATGCAGCTGGTCTTCTGCTGAGCGAGGGAGAAGGACGTGACAACCTCGACTGGACGATACTGGAAGTGGCATCCAACAGTCGCATCTGTCGCTCATAAATTTCCGACGCGCGCTTTGCTGACTGGGGAAAGGACTGTA